ATGATTGCTTTCTCAGTAAGCATATTTACATATTTCAGAATCAAATCCAGATTAAAAAGTTATTAAAGATCTGTAATGAAGGGTCTATGATTAAAAAGTATGAAGAGTAAAATGAAAGCTGATATGAGCTTTGCTCTTAAATTCATGTTGTTTTCCATTTTCAAGCCTAGAGAAACTAAGGGTGTTCATCAGGATCGGTGTTCATCAGGATCAGTGTTTTCCAGAAATCAAAAGAACAACAGATTGTGAGTCAATCACAAAAGAATTGAAGTGGTTGCTCATGATTTTCCATTGACAATCTCAGTACATCAGCAGGAAGCTACCAATCAATTTTGGCCGAAACACTGCCACTCATAACCTTGACCTACTTCACAAATAATTTATCTGTGACTATTGAGAATCGAAAGATCATTGACAGATGATTCATCAACTTATCGTCAGGAGTGAGCTGGTCTTTTGCTATTAGTCAAAAATTGCAGATGCTGAAAGAGACAGTTGTCTGTCAAAACCCTCCGGATGAACTCATGAAAACCTTTCTCCCCCACCCCCATCTTTCCTGTGACACACAGCTAAAAGCCAAAGCAAAGTCCCCCAACATGAATTTGATATCTTTTTTGCCAACTTTGAATCTCCCTTTTAAACCATACAAAATGTTTCAATCAACTGCTAAAGAGAGCAAATTCTGCAATGAACTAAGGACAAGTATTGCTCTAAGCAGTGTTGTTTAATTGCATAATTAGACATGGATGAACCTTGGCACCAAATTCCCATGTGGCAATGTCATGTTGGAGATTTGCGTGAATGGTGGCCTGACATTACACGTTGCAATCCCTGATGGTTGCCTGGGTCCCTCCCATTAGCTGTATTAGACTCTCTATCAGTATCTCTGGTGAGTAAGTAACTTGCTTCACATGGAACCTTGCCCAAGCATGGTTTTTTTTTTTTTTTAGTTCAATAAAGAAAAAGGGCAGAATTCAAGAATCCAACAAAAAGTTTGAGATTATATTTGTAATCTCACTGTTGTTTCTTGTATGAATTGCCAAACACCCTTGGATTGCATGTTCTGCCCCAACTATATATTTGATAAAAATAACATGTTAAATATAAATTTTCGTTATCATTTTTTAAAATAATATTTACAAATGCCCAATAACCGGATCTATGACGGGCATATAATCATTCTTTATTAGAACGTAAAAAGAATGCTGACATTATACCATGTAACAGCATGGTGAGTAGGCTGTTTGATGATCTGTAAATTGCAATTGATTGACCTGTAAGCAACAAGCTTAACATACATGATTCTGCTCAATTTGGACACTTCATCTGAGGACCACAAATAAAGGTACTACTTGAAACTTACTTGAACTCGATATGAGTATTAAAAGTGTTATCAGAACCTTATGTTATTGGGTCGGATACCCGCAGATTCTCTAAAACATCAGTGTATTTACATCCCAAACCAAAAACCAACATCAAATTCAGACAGAAACAGAAGTAACTCATATATATGATTTGTACAGTCAAAACCAGAACAGCCCAGATCAAACTTTCAGCTAGATTTTGCCTCTCCAACACCTGTATGCCTCTCATTGGACTAACTTCCGACGAAAGCGTTATAAAAACTAACCAACAGTTCCGAACATCCCGGAACTCCCTTACTTTCTCCCATTCAGACCCCAAACTTTTTCCAGCTTTCTCCCTTGCTTCGCAGCTAAACGACCCTTCATGGGAGACGCCAGGGAACCTTTGGTGGATCGAACTAAGTTCATGAGAACCATTTCTCATGCACAAGACGAGTTGCAAAGCTTTAGAACGTACCTCAGATGGATGTGTGTTGACCAATCCGATGTTTGGACAGCTTGTTTGTCTTGGTTCGTGTTCATTCTTTTGGGACTCGTTGTCCCTGCCGTGTCCCATTTCTTGCTAGCTTGTTCCACTTGCGATGCTAGGCATGCAAGGCCTTATGATTGGGTGGTTCAGCTGTCACTGAGCAGTGTTGCATCTTTATCTTTTGTTTGTTTGACGAGGTTCGTGAAGAAGTATGGTTTGAGGAGGTTCTTGTTCTTTGATAAGCTTTGTGATGAAAGTGAGACTGTTAGGAAAGGATACACTGGTCAGCTCAATGTAAGTTTTTTCCCTTCCTCTCTTCTTAAACTGGAATTTTTGCAGAGTTCTCATATGGGATTTCAATGAATTTCTGGTTTTTGTTCAGGATCTTGTTATTGTTTGATTGTTTTGGCACTTTTCTGGATTTTTTGGGTGTTATGTTACATTTGTTATTGATCATTCTTCATCTCTGAATCTTTAGTCACTGATAGGGAAGAGTTTAGTTCAATTCCCTTGAAATTTTCAGTTTCTATGAAATGAGCTAAGTCAAAGATCCATAATTCACTGAAATCACACCTATGATCATGCTGGGTTTGACTTGATCAGCCAAAAGAATCCCATAATTAAGCTAGCTGTCATGGCTTTCCAGCCACATATAAACCAAAAAATATCACAAGTAAACAAAAGAAAGTGATTCCCCTAACCAGGAAATGAGAATTAACCATTTTCTGGATGTCTTGATTGCTCAGAGTTTTCTGGAACTTTAGTGAGTGAGTTCCAAACACCTCATAGTGGAAGATGAGTCACCCTTATCTTTTTACACAAGGAGATTCCTAACAATGATCGAGAAGTTTCGGATGAACAGTAACAAATATCTGATGACTATTCTCTACTTTGGGTTCCAACTACATATACATGATTGTTGTTTCCTTTAGCATTCATTCTCTTCATTGGAACATGTGAAAGATAGAACTTTTAAGCTGTAATAGCTGTAAGTTTCTGCATCATCAAACTAGCAGATAATGTAAGAGCTGATGTTTGCTAGAGAAATACACCCCATCTAAGCTAACCAAACTTCTGTTAAGCATTTTGAGCAGGCATTAGTTTCTTGTCACCGATCTACCACTATTAGGTCAAAATATTCACATCATCTTCCATAATGATTAAGTGATTGGGGCATAACATAAGTCAATAGTATGTGGATAGCATTCTTTCTTTTTTCTTTTGGAACAAATCAGATAACATTTTTCCTGGAATATCAGAAAGCTATGAGGAAAATGCAGAATAATGCCAAGTGATTCACTTGAAAAGCCTAGAACTATATAAGACCTAGAATGCGGTTCCATCAAGTGTTTGTTTCCTTTTGGCTTGTGGGGTTTGGATAATAAACATTTTAAAGTTTCAAATTTATATGTTAACATTGATTTTTTGTGCTGTTTAATTTATACAGAGATCACTGAAGATTGTATCAATTTTTGTTCTCCCTTGTTTCGTAGCTGAGAGTGCATACAAGGTATGGTGGTATGCCTCGGGTGCTTCACAAATTCCCTTCTTAGGAATTGTCTGGCTAAGTGACGCAATGGCTTGTATGATGGAGTTGTGCTCATGGCTCTATCGCGCGACAGTCTTCTTCCTGGTTTGTGTTCTCTTCCGCCTGATCTGCAACCTCCAGGTCCTCCGGATCCAGGATTTTGCTCAGGTTTTCCAAGTTGATTCCGATGTTGGTTCTGTCTTGTCTGAGCACCTGAGGATCAGGAGACACTTGAGGATCATCAGCCATAGATATCGCGCGTTTATCTTATGGTGCCTGATTTTGGTCACAGGCAGCCAATTCACCTCTTTGCTTATCACCACAAAGGCTGATGCTGAATTGAATATTTATAAAGCTGGAGAGCTTGCTGTAAGTGTTCATTGATCTGTTCCAAAACTATGTGTTTCCCTGCATCATATTCTCTAGTCTAGTGTCAAATTTGAAAAGGACCTAGCCATGATTTCAATGATTTGTACTTTCTTGTTGCAGATGTGCTCTATAACTCTCCTTACAGGACTCAGTATATTACTGCGAAGCGCGACAAAAATCACGCACAAGGCGCAGTCTGTCACATGCCTTGCTGCAAAGTGGCATGTTTGTGCAACATTGGATTCCTTTGATGCAAATGATGGCGAGACGCCAAGGACTCCAGCCATCCATGGCTGCCAAGCCTTTCCTTATGTAGGTACTGATGGTGAATCTGATGGTGAGGACGCTGGCGATGAAGAAGATGATATAGACAACAACAAGCTGATCCCAGCTTATGCATACAGCACCATCTCATACCAAAAGAGACAAGCTCTAGGTAAATGCCATTAGGGTTCTAGGAAAGGAACATTAACATTGTTAATGTCTTGATCTCCATTGATGATTCGTTTTTGTTCTTGATGACAGTGACATACTTTGAGAACAATAGAGCTGGGATTACAATCTATGGCTTCACACTGGACAGGAGCACCCTTCACACCATTTTTGGCATTGAGTTATCTCTTGTTCTATGGTTGCTTGGAAAGACCATTGGTATTTCTTGAAGGAAAAATCCAGGCAAACCATGTATGGGATCTATGTTCACCATGGAAGAGGAGGAGAAAGAGAGAGAGAGAGAGATCAGAGGGATTTATGTAAAGGTTTTGTCTTTGATTCATTTCTTCTTTTGTGTAAAAGAAGTTTTGCCCATGGTATGTTTTGTTTCCCATTGTAAAACAATTAGTAATCCACATTATTGTTTATTATTATTTTTGATTGAATTCGATTAATTTAATTCGGTATATTTAATTTCAGTTTTAATTGATTATTTGGTTGGTTTATTTTAATTTTTGATTTTCAAAATTTACAATTAAATAGATAAAAATATTAAAAAAAATCAATCAAATTGATTGAGATAAATCAATTTTGATTATTTCGATTTTAGAGCATAGTTTGTCAATTCAAATATTTTTTATAAAAATTTGATTAATTTAAGAATTTGAAATTTTAAAATCGAATCCACCAAATTCTCACTTCCAATGGTGAGGGCTCTATGTACTTGAAGCCTTGTCCAAAGCACGTTTCGTTGGAAAGTACGTGTCGTTTTGGAGCCAAAGCCTAAACATTCTAAAGCGCGCCCTTTTACAATCAACAACAAAGAGAGAAAGAAAAGAGCTCTGCTTTTTCCCTCTTCGCCTACTAAAGAGCAAGCTATCTAGTACCATGATAAAGCTTCAAACTATATAGATTTACACAAAGGAAATCTAGAAATCCAGCTAAATCTTTTAGCGTCAATGCTTGTTCCATCACTTGATTTTCGATGCTTTTCCCTCAGAAAACACAGTCCTTTCATTAAATTCCCTAGGAGGTCTCTTTTAGCCTCATTTCAGTTGGTTTCTTGCTTTACTACCCTCATTGCTACAAATGAGATAAACCCCATTTTCTATCCACCTTTAAAAGTCACACCTTTCAAAGAAAAGATAAAGCTTGATAGAACTAAAAGGTTAAAACTTTACTCTAAGATTCTACATGATTGTGCTTCAAAGGGGTCTTTGCGTTTAGCCAAAGTTGTTCATGGGAAGATAATAAAAAATGGGCTTGACCCAGATTTGCATTTATGGAACTCTTTGGTGAATGTTTACGCAAAATGTGGGAGCTTTGGATATGCTTGTAAAGTGCTTGATATAATGTCTGAAACAGATGTTGTATCTTGGACTGCTCTGTTTTCTGGTTTAGTTAATGAAGGGCATGGCTCTGCTGTGTTGGGTTTGTATTGTTTTATGAAGAAAGATGGTGTTAGGCCAAATGGGCATTGCTTGGTGACTGCTTTGAAAGCTTGTTCTTTGAGTTTAGATTTGTTTTTTGGGACACTGTTGCATGGAGAAGGTGTTAAAGTTGGGGTATTGTTGGATGTTTTTGTTGGGTCTTCCCTTGTTGATCTTTATGCGAAATGTGGTGAGATGGAACTCGCCGAGAGAGTGTTTGTTTACATGGATAAAAAGAATGTTGTGTCATGGAATGCATTGTTTAATGGTTATGCACTAAAGGGTGATGCAGGAAAGGTTTTGAATTTGTTTGAAGGGATGACGGAATCTGAATTGAGATGTAGTAAGTTTACTTTGTCAAATGTGCTCAAGAGTTGCACATATTTGGGAAACTTAACACGGGGCTCGATAGCACATTCTTTGGTGATTAAGACTGGTTGTGAGCATGATGAATTTGTTGGTTGCTGCCTTCTTGACATGTATTCAAAATGTGGACTGGTTGAGGATGCACTCAAGGTCTTTAAAAGGATTCAAGAACCCAACATAGTTGCCTGGAGTGCAATGATTGACTGCCTTGATGAGCAAGGCCAGATTCAAGAAGCAGCTGAGATGTTTTGCCTAATGAGACACAAAGGGGTAAGCCCCAATCAGCATACTTTTTCCAGTATTGCTGGTGCAGCCACTAATTTGGGTGATCCGCTTTTTTGTGAAGGCATTCATGCGTGTATAATTAAACATGGCTTTGAATCTGAAAACGTTTTAAGCAATGCACTTATTTCCATGTATATGAACATCAGGTCTGTCCAAAATGGTTGGCAGGTGTTTAAGGAAATGAGTTCATGGGATTTGGCTTCATGGAATGCCCTTCTTTCTGGACCACTTGATGATAAAACTTGTGATCAGGGACCAAGTATCTTTCACAAGATGCTTGCAGCAGGTTGTAGGCCTGATATCTGCACCTTTACTAGCATCCTAAGATCTTGTTCCAGCCTCCTAAATCTAAAATTTGGGCAGCAAGTGCATGCTCACATAATAAAGAATGGCCTAAATGATAATAACTTAGTGGGAACATCTCTTATTGACTTGTATGCCAAAAATAGATTCTTGGAGGATGCAGAGCTACTTTTCAGTCAATTGATTGAGATCGATCTTTTTTCGTGGACAGCATTAATTGCTGGTTATGCTCAAACTGATTGTGTAGAGAAGGCTATCAAGTGCTTCAATCAGATGCAAAGACAAGGTGTGAAACCCAATGAATTCACTCTTGCTACCTGTTTGAGTAGTTGCTCTAAGATGGCAATGTTGGAAAATGGGCAGCTGCTTCATTCTATGGCGATTAAAGCTGGGCATTCAGTGGACCTGTTTGTATCAAGTGCTCTTGTAGATATGTATGCCAACTGTGGCTGCATAGAAGAAGCTGAATCTGCTTTCCAGGGCATGGTGTCAGCAGATGTCGTATTGTGGAACACAATGCTTTTTGGATACTTGCAACATGGGCAAGGATTGAAAGTCTTGGAAACTTTTAGGACAATGTTGGATGAAGGCCTTGAGCCAGATGAGGTTACAATCATTGGAGTTTTATCTGCATGTAGTTATATGGGCTTGGTTGAAGAAGGGAAAGAGCACTTTGACTCTCTGACCAATGTTTATGGAATAATACCTACAATTGAGCATTATGCCTGTATGATTGATATTTTAGGTCGAGCTGGAAAATTTAATGAAGTTGAAAGCTTTGTCAAGGACATGAAGGTTACATCAACTGCCTTGATTTGGGAGACGGTTCTTGGGTCTTGTAGAATGCATGGAAATGACAAATTAGGTGATATTGCTGCAGAGAAACTCTTCGAGCTTGACCCTGATACAGCCTCCCATTACATATTACTAGCAAATATTTTTGCTGCCAAGGGTAGGTGGGATGATGTCCGTAGGGTCAGGGCATTAATGACCAGTCGTGGTGTTAAGAAAGAATCTGGGTGTAGTTGGGTGATGGTCAGTGGTCAACTGCACATCTTCGGGTCTGCAGATGGTTCGCATCCAATGAGCAGGGAAATCTATACGAAATTGCAGGAGCTTGTACAGAAGGTTAGTTTAGCAGGTTATGTGCCTAAGACAGAACATGTACTCCATAATGTTAGCCACAGAGAAAAAATGGAACAGCTCTTTTATCATAATGAAAGGTTAGCACTTGCTTTTACCCTTATAAGCATCAACCCCATGAAAACAGTCCGGATATTCAAAAATTTGCTCATATGTGAAGACTGCCATGATTTTATGAAACTTGTCTCTAGTATCATATAACAGGAGATTGTTGTTTGTGATGTGAATTGTTTCCATCGCTTCAGGAGTGGCATTTGCTCATGTCAAGATTGGTGGTGATTTTGCTCTAGTCATCCAGCAAAAAGGTTTGTTCCAGATAATTATCCTTATATTTTTCTCTATAATTTGTTTGCAGGGCTTTGGAGATTAGTTGTTAAGTGATCATGTTCATGAGTTGTCATGTGAGTAGCACCAATTGCTTGATCGTGAACTTGCACGGTAGATGATTGTTATACTTTTCTGATGTTGTTCTAAAAGCGAAGCTTTCTTTAAATCTCTTAAACCATGGTTTTGGATGTATAAAAGTTAATATTTCAGGGTAGTCCTCCCTAATGTTCTGTTGTTGAAAAATACCTATTTTTTATTTTCTTTTGTGGATATCAATCTTCCTCATCTGTCTCCTATTCTATCTGATCTGCAACCTCCAGGTTCTGTCTCCTGGATTTTCTCAAAATCTCCAAGTTGATTACGACGTGGAGTCATCTTTGTCTGAGCACATTAGGATCTGGAGGCACTTGAGGATCATTAGCTATCAATATCTCGTGTTCAAATTAAGGCTTCTGATCTTAGTCACAGGGAGCCAAATCACCTCGTTGCTTATCACTACCAAGGCCATTGTTAATGGTGCTTCAAATGGTCCTCTGATTTTGGGGAATGTCCTGCATTGGCAAGTGATTAGATTGGCATCCAGATTTGCAATGTTGGATGTTGCAGTGAATGTTTATGCAAGATGTAGAAGTTTCAGGTCTTCCTGTCAGTATACATTGCTTCCTTGTGTTCATTTATGCTTTCTTTTTATTTGCACTGTGTTTATTAGATCTTTTTCTCTTTACCGTTTCCTTAGAGGTTAGGGTGATTTTCTGATTCCCTGAGACAGGGATATGTTGGAGAATTCATCATGGCCTTGCAGGTTGGTGAATTTGTAGATTTCTTGCATTCTGATAATATTAACCCATCCCTTCTAATCTGACCTTTACTTTGATGTGTCACCAGTTTAACAAGCTGGACGTGAAATGATACTTGATCATCTGAGTAAGTATGGTAGGACCATCACATTTGGCTTCACTCTTCTATTGCATGTTGGGAGGTTTATTCGAAGATGACTACTTCTGCTGCGATGGAAGTTTCTGATCTGTATCACATGCAGTAAGCATACTATTTTTGTTTCCTTTTGAGTAAGGTGTGTCTGATTCACAAGCTTTCCTTGTGGAAAACTTCTGACTGTTTTCTTTACTTGGTTCAGAAGACTGACATTCTTCAACATCAAGTAATCCGGATATAAACGAATGCTTACGCGATCATAAATCAACGCCTTGATAAAGTTTTTCTCGGTATGTACCCAAAAGGAACACAGATGTTGTTTTCATAACGAGCCAAGTTTGAATGATTTTTCTCCCATTGATGCCAGTGACTTTGAAGAGCAACGAAGCTGTTCCGGGCTTCTGG